CCCCCAAAACCCCAAAACCCCAAAACCCCTATAAGTTGTCAAGTAGTTGAATTATAATCAATTTTGTATATGAAGCCATCACAAAGAAATACCATAGCTCATAATTTCAAGTCGAGGGCTCCCCAAGCCAACCAGATTCATTTTGTAATACATCTAACTCCGGAGTGGAAAGTTATTTTTACATTTGAATTCCTACTATCTGAGACCACATCATTAGGTTTTTTATGTTCATCTAAATTTATTATACTCCAACAACTATTTTTGGGAGGAGGAAAACTATATTTTCATTGTGAAAAGACTCAAATTATTCAACTAACAAAGCCTAGGTCATTTTGTATTCTTTCAATTAGAAAAATTTTCTTTTAGACAAAAAATTAAAATAAGGTTTTTACTAATAATTAGTTATGAATTATTATCCATGGAAATCAATTGATCGTTAGCACAATATCTCATTTCTACATAGGAGAGGATCAGAAAATTTATATGTAAAGACAACAAAGCAACTCAAAGATCTTCACAAAGAGGAGGAGGCACCAATAGAAGTTTTTCCTTGAGCAAACCTTACAGGTAACAATCAATTTTGAATAAGAATTTTTCTAAAGGCTCGACACTCCCGAAATGTGAACTTATACAGCTTTTGAGCCACAATACTTGTTCACATATTCGAATTTATATTTGAGACAAGCTCGATGTTTGAGTCGCTCAGGTTGCACAACCTATACTATGACATCTATAGCTGACATTTTAATAGTCATAAAAACTAAGTCCCTAAGCCAGCAATTTTAGTAATAGATGAGCTTACTATATACTTAAACCTGAAAGTTTTCATTTCTATTGATTTTTACAGTTAATAATGGTATGATAGAAAACAAGTGAAGTCGATAAGTCCTTCTCCTGGACACCCTCAACGAAAAAGGAAGTTTGCCAGAACTTATAAGATCATAATTTCAAGAAATAAATTTAACACTCCTGATATCAGAGGGGCTTCAACTACTTTCAGATGAGTTAATAACAGAAATTTTCTGTCAGAAGAAGCTAAGAAAAAGAAAAATAGCTTCAGAATTAATAGCAATACCAAGAGAACACCTCTAAGTGATCTTAAGAATAGAATTAAGTCCTTGTCTCCAGACCAAAGGAAAGCCCTATCCTCGGCTGCTAGTCAGTTTATTAATTCTATAAAAAGCTCTAAAAGGCGAGGCATTTATAAGCAGAACGCTAGAAGAAAATTCAAAGCTGTGTCACCAACTCTCCCAAGGCGTGGGATTAAGAAAGAGCTTCAGGAAAACTCTAGTACAATTTTTTCTTTTAATAATGGTAAAATCCCGGACAACACAATTGAACCTAGAGAGTATACTTCTGATCCAAATTTCCAGACTGCCAGCAAGTTTGATGAACTACATTACAAACTCATAAATTTGAAATCAAGCATTGGAATGGTAAATTCACCATACATTTTGAGCAAGAAATTACAAAGACTCAAATCAAATAAGCAAGAGTAAGTAATTTAAACTCTAATACCTTAAACTATAGCCCCCAAACTCAAGCCCAGTGCTCAAATCTATTAAATAAAGACTATATAAGCGAAGTATGCTTTGAAGAAGACCTCTAAACATCCGATAATCCACCTTCCAGCCATAAACCTATAAAACTTCTTTCAACTTCTTCTTGCCAATATGGGGTTTTGGGGTTTTGGGGTTTTGGGG